GATGGCCGGGGGAAGGGGAGGGGGAGGGGTGCGAGATGGCGGGGGAGGGCGCCGGCGGGAGGGAGGGAAGAGGGGTTGCGAGGGAGGAGGAGAGGGAGTCAAGAGCCGCAGGCGGGTGCGCGCAGGTGGAAGAGGGAGGTGGTGCGGGGCACGGGTACAGGCGGCGAGGGTGTCGGTGCAGCCCCCGCGCCGGTGTCCCCCGGCGGCCGCTCGAGGGACGGGCCGTCGAGGGCTGCCAGGGGGTACCGGAAAGAGAAGGGATGTGCGGCGGAGGAAAGGGACAAGGAGTGCTGGGATGGCGGGCGGGAAGGGGTGCCTGCGGGGCATGGCGGGACGGAGGCGGTGGCGGGATGCGGGGTAGGCGTGCCCGGGCCGTCTGCGGGGATCGGGGGGGCGAGGGGGGGGTGCGCGGCGGGGCAGGAGGGAGGGAGTACGGCTGCGGCCGGACGGAAGTGAAGGGGCTGCTGGGATGGCGAAGGAGGGGTGCTGGATTGGCGGAGGAAGGGGCTCGGGACTGGGCGGCCCGGGGCGAAGGAGGTGCCAGCGGGCCCCACAGCAAGGAAGGGAAGGGGTGCGGAGGAGCGGAGAGGGAGGGTGGGCGGAGCGAGGGAGGGGAGGGGGTGTTGTTAGGTCAGCGATGATGAGAGTAGGGCAGGAGCTGTTAGATGGATTATAGGATGGGTTGTTGCGGTCTGTGCAGTGTCCGTCACTCGTTCGTTGTCTTCTTACTCACTCGTCGCTATCGAGCTAACAACGTTAAATCACAAAGGATAGAGGAAGAACGTTTGAAAGTTCGATTTGATTTTTGATGTAGTGTAGATAGGACCCGCACAATAGTAGAGAAACACGAGCTTCCTTATTTCACTCGATGCCAAGCGATCAATAGCCGCTGTCATCTGACCAAGTAATCATGTAATATATATTTAAATCTGAATTCCTTTCAGATGAGAGTCCGTGCATTAAGGTAACTCTATATAGTATAAAATAGACATGTCAATAAAATGCACAATTAACGTTAGAAAAGACTTTGTAGTAACAACACATAATACTAACAGAAAATCCCTAAGCTCAACTGTAACATGATGGCGCGCATCTTGAAAACAACAACAATAAAATCTGTTGCAATGTTTCATACTAGGCATAGAGAAAAAAAAGTACGGTAGTATTATCCCCCTAAAATTTCGTCAATTGCCGTAAATCTTCTCCGGATCGTATAACTGTCCCGCCGAAAACAGATGATGGGATTAGCTCGAGTATACCCACCTCATCCCCGAAATGCAAAACAAACGATTGAAGCAGGATTTTGCGCATATAAAAACTAGACACACTTAACTGGTGCACGCGTGAACGAGTGATCCATCCCGGTTTACGGTCCCTCCTTACATAGGCCTATATAGTGAAACTTTATATATTATATATTCTTTAAAAGCCATAACAAAACCCTCGCGAACACGTCGACGGCTACCCGGTGAATCAAACTACTGGAAAACCATATCAGGAAAAAAAGTTAGCTTTAGTTTACGGCCCACGTGTTCATTAGCTGTCGCCCACGTATATATAATCGCGTTCTATAATACACATAATAGGCTATATATATATATATAATATAATACATATATATTCTATAAATATAATAATATATGTATAACCTAATCAAAAAAAAAGAATATATCTGTTATATATATATGTATATATATATATATAAATCAGTACGTCGCTCCCACGATCCGCCAGACGTTGACCTTTAAAACCGACCGCCGCCCCCCGGTTACCGGCGACGAGCCGCCAGCTCTCCCACCCGGGCACCGCAGGCTTGGCCGTCCGTATGTTACTCCGCAGTAATTGCTCGCGTGTATAATTGCCTATAAATTAAGCTCGCAGTGTCGTAATGCATGGCCGCAAGACCCCTACCGACCCGAGTCGTCGCTCTCCCATTATCGCGACCGCTCTCTATCAGCTGTGTGTACATTTGTCAGCATCTAATTGTGTGATATTAAACGCCCGACTTATACGGTGGCCACTGTTCCCGTCCCGCTTGATGGCTATCTCGAATTATTGCCAACTCGCCGTCTGGTGCCCGATTGGTGCGCGCTAGTTTGTGGATATTATACACATCCGTAACGCAGATCGTAATCGCGATGCGAGCATTACCATAAGTAATGAAGTATGATGCATGGCGCTGTTAGCTGCCGTCTGGGGGCATAGGCGCGGTGACGTAGCTATGATGTTATTAGGTCGTGACCTGTGTTTGTCATCAAGCAGACGCTTGGATTCTGTCGTCTAGAGGGGAGATGTCGCTGATATGTTGTTGTAGTTTTTTTTATCATTTATCGAGATGACGCAACTATGACACTCTCTCTCTCTCTCTCTCTCTCTCTCTCTCTCTCTCTTGCTTTCTCTCTCTCTCTCTCTCTCTCTCTCTCTCTCTCTCTCTTGCTTTCACTCTCTTTCTCTCTCTTTCTCTATCTCTCTCTCTCTTCTCTCCCCTCTCTCTCTCTCTCTCTGGTCTCTCTCTTTCTCTCTCTCTCTCTCTCTCTCTCTCTCTCTCTCTCTCTCTCTCTCTTTCTCTTTCTCTCTCTCTAGTTCGTTGTCTCTCCTTCTCTCCCAATCTCTTTCCCCCTCTCTCTAGAAGAATGGAACGTGTTTCGAATTAATCGTCCAAATTAGAAACTGCTCAGCGTTCGGCTCGACACAAATTATTCCACAATTTGCGTCATAAAGCAGCCGCCGTTGTTTCTTAATTAGGACAATAAAACGACGATCACTGACAGCATTGCGCTGATTCTGCGACACTCATGTCGTCTGCCCGCGTGCGTGCGTGCGTGCGTGAGGGAGTGCGTGCGTGTGTGAGTGCGTGTGCGTTTGTGAGTGCGTGTGCTTGTGCGCGCGTGTGTTTGTGCGCGCGTGTGCGTGTTTGTGAGTGCATGTACGTGCGCGCGCGTGTGTTTGTGCAAATCCGCAACGGAAGTTTAATTAACATCCATCCACCATCTTCCAGGTCCCTCCATCCACCCTCCTTCCTTCCCTACCTCCTTCCCTTTCTCCCTCCCTCTCTCCCTCTCTCCTTCTCTCCTCTGCCTCTCCCCTCTCTCTCCCTCTGCACGTGCGTTTCGTAACTTTTCTTTCTTTTGCGCGCTCTCTCTCGCTTTCTTTCCCTTCCTCCCTCCGCCCTCTTTTCCCCTCTCCCTCTCTCCCTCTCTCTCTCCCCCTGCACGTGTTTCTTTTACTTTTTCTTTTGTCGCGCGCTCTCTCTCTCTCTCGCTTTCTTTCTCCCGCCGTCTCACCAGCTATAGTGAGTTATTGTCGGCACTATATCGCCATCATTAAAGCGACCGACGTCGCCGTCTCTCTCGCCTTGATAGAAACAGTTTATACGCCGTCTCACGAATCTTATTATATCTTATTATCGAATCTTATCATCTATCTTATTATGAATTCTAATTTATTGTTTATAAAGGCGCCTCTGACTTTATCTGCGCGTGTGTGCCCCCCCTTCCTCTCTCTCTTTTTCTCTCTTTCTCTCTCTCTCTCTCTCTCTCTCTCTCTCTTGTGAGCTCTCTCTCCCTCTTTCTCTCTCTCTATTGCTTTCCTTCTCCTTTCTTTGCTGTCGCTCTTCCCCTCTCTCTCTCTTTCTCTCTCTCTCTCCCCTCTCCCTCTCTCACTTCCCTCTCCTCTCCCTCACCTCTCTCTACACCGCCCGCCCTCCCACACCAAACCACGCGTTTACGTACACCGCATGTGACGCGCGAGGAGAGAGGAAGGAAGCGCGATGGGAGGCGGCGGCAGCGCACTGACGGAGGCACTTAGCGAGACCCCGCCTCCAGCGCACCGCCGCCGACCACTCAGTGGTGAGAACGCGAGAATGAGTAAATCGTCACCAGCAGCAGCAGCAGCTAGCATCGGTAGCGGGGCAGCGTGTCTGCGATGCAGCGCTGTGCAATGAGATACCAGCATCAGCGACTCGCGCACAGCGACGGCGGCGGCGGCGGCAGCGGCAACGGCGGCGGTGGCGTACCGACGTATAAAAGAATTGCGAACGCCAAGTTCGTCTTTTAGTTGAGTTGGTGCGCGCAAGAGACGCGTTGCACATACACACACGTGCAGCGGCGAAGGAACGAATCGGAGAACTATATCTACGGCAAATACCGCGTCGGTCAGTGACGGCCTAACAGATCGACAACGCGAAAAAAAAATTCTGGACAGACAGAGGAGAGCGAGCAGGAGCATCGCGCGGAAGGACAGAGACTCCGCGCTCGGTAAGATAGAAATACGAGCCCTGGGAGAGGAAAGAGGAATCAGCGCCCAAGGCAGCCGCTGAGAGAAACAACCTCGCCCTCCTCCCAGGAGACGCGGCGTGAGAGATAGAGGCGAGAGCACACACACGGAGACGGAGTGGTGACAGATAGACGGGGGATGCTGTTACCTTAGGGACGCCGCTTCGTTGCCAGCCTCCTCATCCTCCGCCAGTCACGTCAGCAGTTGGACCCGGCGACACGAGTCACAGATAAACACGCCGGACATTTACATAAAATCATTTATCTACATCTGCGACCAGCGCATCAATACATGTCAACGGTGCATGCGAAGCGAGCCGATAGATAGAGAAGAAGAGAAGTCAACCACGCGCGTCGGCAGCGAGATAAGGCTCTCTATCTCCCCGCGCGTATTCGCAGCGTGGACACGTACGTACGTCGGCGCTCGTCAACTACCCGGATGAACTCGCCCGCATTTGTCGCCGGAAACGACCGCTAAGACGCATTGCGGACGACGATATCCGGTGTAGACTCAACGACCCGACTTGATATTCCGTCGTCGTCGTCGGCGACGGCCGTGACGACGGCCAGCGCGTGGTTACCAGGTGCTTCCGTCGTCAGCTTGTGCAGTATATATACACTCTACTATCATCCTCCCAGGGCACGAGCTATAGCGGAACTCCAGCTAAGCAAAATTAGAATACAATAGGCGTAGTGTACAGAGTAGCACCGACGACCCGCGGAAGCATGGAGAGAGCGGACACACCAAGTACGTCGGCAAGTCGCGGGCCCGTCGCTAACCAGCCGACGTCCCCGCCGACGACGACGACGACGACGGCGGCTGCTGGCGGTGGCGACAAACCGCAGCTGTCGGTGCGAAGCAGGGCGTTCACTATTGAAGCTCTGATAGCGACAAAGGACGTGCGAAAGTCGGCCTCCGTCAATCATCTTACACCGCTAGGTAACCACTACCACTACACTGTTCGCTAAATCGCTAATTAGTAACACTGACACTAAATCGTCAATGTGTGACCGGGCTATTGATGAACGGGTATGTTGAAACGGTTATGTTGAACAGCATTGTTGAACGGCAAGCATTTGTTGAACGGGTAGTTCTACTTGATACAATAATCTTGCTTACTATATCCCGTTTGTCTCGCAATGGGTGGTCCACAATATAATAGATTACCTTATTGATACAATAATGTAACCCAACTCTACACACCCCTCCATAACCCCCCCCCCCCTATATAACAAAGCCGGGTAACTACGCTTGTTGGGGTACATTATTGTATCTATAGACTATAGTTCTATAGTTCTATAGTATCATGTGTTGCCCCTTTGCTTTCTCTACAGGTAGTTTTCCCTTGTAGTGGTAGCGAAGCGGTTACATTGGTAGACATAGCTGCGACAGTAGTAGCTCTACCAGTGTAGCGTCTATACTTCCTATACAGGTAGCATGCCCCTGTAGCGGGAGCGAAGGGCTACACATGTAGCTTCCTCACAGGGAGCGACGGGGTTTCACTGGTAGAGCCATAGCTACAGAAGCAGCCATGCATTCTGCTAACCATTACTTACCTTCTCGCTTCTCACTACGTGGCATCGTACATGCTTTCACGGAGTAGTTATACCGTCTGGCGACGTAGTGAGACGTGCAGAAGGTAACTTGTGGCTGAATGCATGCGTGCATGCTCCCTTGTTGTTTGTTATACAGTGTTATATATATTGAGAGAGATGGAGAGAGAGAGGGAAACTGTGCTTAATCGAAAACGGATAACCGGGATCCCTGTCACTGAGTGTAGCGACAATTTATCATTTGCGATATCGATTGTCTAGCACACTGACTCCACAACTGTCAGCCAGTTAGATTAACTATTGCTGCCAGTGTTAACTGGTTAACTGTTGCCACACATATGTTCGTTTTGACTCTCGCTACAAATGTACATGAATAATGTCGGTTTCAATGGCTTTTGATCAACTGTCACTAGAGTGTTGCCAATTGGATGGTTGCTTATTATAAACGTTTCCTGTGTGACTGTTCCTAATAATTGAAGCAAATGTTTCTTGACCGCCGCCCCAATGGTGTCTGCTTAACTATTGCACCCCAATGATGGCCTCATAACTGTTTCCACCAAGTTTCATCCTTCTATGTCTATTTTAGATTAGAATAAAATTAGACACGAATTTCCGTGTGATTCTTTGCTCGTTGCTGGAGCGGACATCATACTTTGTTCATCTATGGTGTCATCTCAATGGTCGCTTTATAAATCGCGTTATTCATTGTCTATTAAAGAAGTGTCAATAATTCCGAGATTTATAGAAGTAATTTTATATTCATCTGCGTCGCCGAACGCTCGCATAATCCACGCATCAGCCTCTTCTACGTAAATAAGATACTCAAAGCTGCAACGTTTCACGCCGCCTCAAATAATGTTTATGAAAGTCGGAAGCCGTAGTAAGCCTCCGTAATCATTCGCAGACAAAACACGCTGGACGCACGATCGGCCGCTGCGGCCGCCATATTGAATTTCGTCGACGGTCGCAGCTATCTGCGACGAATACCGCGAAACGAAATCTGTCGGTTTTTTTTCTCGCGATTTTTATTGGGGATCGATAGCCGTCTCCGATACAGCGAGCAAGGGTGATCGGTTTTTGTGTGTGCCGAAATCGGGCGGAAAGCTATCCTCGGCCATATCATCTCTTCATCTGTAGCATCTATATGGGATGCAGGCGGACGAGGGCTGATGTCTACGTCCATCCATCTATCGTCGGTGCGTCTGCTGCGGGCAATGATTAAGAAATTACTCGCGTCTTTGAATTTCTTAACTAGTCAGTCGTACATTTCAAAATTATCCGCGCATATATCAGCGCGACAGACGCCAAATACGCGTGTCGATGACGTCACGTTTTCACGCATGGTGACGTCACACACAGACACACGACCACGACTTCACCCATGCTGCCAGAGCAAGCGTTAGCTGTCACCGTTGACTGCCACGAGCCATGAGCGCTCTGTGCCCCACGCGTTAATTTATTGCCAGCATTCAAATGCGAACAAAAGCGAGGAAGGGGGAATTATGGAGTAATGAGAATTTTGCGTTGAGTGATGTCAACGGTTATCGGGAAGGCGGCAAATGAGACATCACGTTAGTTAAGCTGCGCGAATCCTGTGCGTTATATATTGCACGTCAGAAAGGAACCCCCATCTCATCGCTGCGCGTACTTCTTTCTTCCTCTCCTTCTCCCTTTTTCTTTCTTCTTATATCTATTTGGTTTGCCCACCTCCCCTCCGCTTGTTATTGTTACTTCTTCTCGCCTCTCTTTCTCTTCCTTCTCATATTTCTCTTTCACCTCCTATCCGCTCCTTCGTCTTCCTCTCCCTCTCCTCTCTTTCTCTTTGTTTACATCTTCCTTTGTCTGCGCACCTCCCCTTCGCTCCTTCTTCTTTCTCTCTCTCCCCTCTCATTCGCTTCCTTCTCATATTCCTCTCTCACCCTACTCCTTCTTCTTTCTTTCTCTCTATCCTGTCATTCTCTCCCTTCTCGTATTCCTCTGTCTCCCCGCTCGCTCTTCTTTCATCCTCTCTCCTCTCTCTCTCTCTCTCTCTCTCTTCCTACTCGTCTTCTTCTTGTCTGCCCCTGGCACGCGTCGACCAGCCAGACACTTGCCTTGCAATCAGTATCCTCGTTACGGGAAACTTTCCCGATAATGTCTCAGTCTACGCACCGACAGTACAAGCTTAATGATGTCGCGCTGCTGGGCCGGTCACGTGACACCCCCGTGACGACGTGTCACTTCCGTCTCATTCTCGCGGACGTCGTGACGTAGCATCGCGCTCGCTACCTCTCTCTGTCTGTCCTTCTCTCTCTTCCTCTATCTCAGCCCCTCTCTCCTTCTCTTCCTCCCCTCTCTTTCTCTTTACCTCTCTCCTCATCTCTCTCTCCCCCTCTCTCTCCTCCCTCTTTCTCTCTCCCTCTCTCCCCCTCTCTCTCCCCCTCTCCCCCACTCTCTCCCTCTGCGCGATCCTCTCCTCCGCTAAGTCTCTGCGCTGTTCTCTTTCCCTTAAATTTCCTCTGTTTATCGCTCCCCCTTTCCCCCATCCTCTCCTCCCCCTCCTCTCTCT